TTTTTTTTTTTTTTTTTGGGTTGGAAATAATGATCTAAACTGTGGCTTGAGATTGTGCTTTGAGCCTTTGGTTTTGGGTGCTTTTTCACTGTCTGATAATGTGAGATGATTGTGGGATCTTAGGTCCTGTAATTTAAAAAAACATGAGTTAAATATTTCTTCACTTAATTTAATTTGTTATAGTTAAGTTCACCTGATGTTTAGTTTGAACTGCAGTTTTTAATCCCACCCCCTTCGAGCCACTCGGAGAAAAAACTAGCCGAACCATGGACCCTGAAGAAACACTATGTGCAGATAATACATGGATGAAGAAGGACTCATCCGGTGATGAATCCCTCAGAACACTTCTGAACAATCCATGTTTTGTAAACAACTCTCAGCAGCCGTTTTCAGATTTGGCGCATTCGAACAACTCGCCTCAAGATTGGGATCCGAATGCAATGCTCAACAACCTCTCTCTCCTAGAACAAAAAATCCACCAGCTTCAAGATTTGGTCCATGTGATCGTTAAGCGTAAGACCCAAAACGACGGTCGAGATGAAATCTTGATCCAGCAACAGCAGCTCGTCACTGCTGACCTCACCTCGATCATCGTGCAACTAATATCGACGGCCGGGAGCCTCTTGCCGTCTGTGAAGCAAACCCCTCTCAGCCAGATGGCCCGATTCGGGCCCTCGAGCTCGAATCAGCTCAACAATGTTCTCACTCAGAACAATGTGGAAGAGGGCCCGAGCTTAAATGGCCCGGTTGAGGAGCATGATGAGAAAACCGACGATGAGCATGAAGAAGGCGAAAACTTACCACCCGGCTCGTACGAGATATTGCAGCTCGAGAAGGAGGAAATTCTCGCGCCCCACACCCATTTTTGCACGATTTGCGGAAAAGGGTTCAAACGGGACGCCAATCTACGCATGCACATGAGGGGTCACGGTGACGAGTACAAAACCCCGGCTGCACTGGCAAAGCCCCATAAAGAATCAAGCTCCGAGCAAGTTCTTGTGAAGAGGTATTCTTGCCCGTTTGTGGGCTGCAAGCGGAACAAGGATCACCGCAAGTTCCAGCCTTTGAAGACGATTTTGTGCGTGAAAAATCATTACAAGAGGACTCATTGCGACAAAACGTACACTTGCAGCAGGTGTAATACGAAGAAATTCTCCGTGATTGCTGATTTGAAAACGCACGAGAAGCACTGTGGTAGGGACAAGTGGCTTTGTTCGTGTGGGACCACTTTTTCGAGGAAAGACAAGCTTTTCGGCCATATCGCGCTGTTTCAAGGGCATACGCCGGCTATACCCGTCGAGGACTGTAAAGGGTTTCAAGGGCCGTCTAACAAAATCGAGCAGGTTGAATTCGGTTGTAAGGCGGAGGGTCCAAGTAATGGCGCGTGTGGAGATGTTGTGATGGATTTGGAAGGTTCCGGAGGAGATTCGATTGCTTATTTTTCGCCTTTGGGTTTCGAGACGGATAGCATTGGGGGGTTTAGTGATTTTCCGAGGCCTCCTTTTGAGGACTCGGATAGCTCGTTCTCTTTTCTGCTCACGGGCTCGTGCAATTACCCCCCGAAGGATGGTGGGTGCTCGAACGGTATGGAGTAGTGTGGGAAGGTGATGGATGTTCTTGTGGTGTAGTTTGGTGTTTTTATGAATAATGTGTGAGTTATTGTGGTTTTGTGCACAAGCAGCCATGTTTTTAGTATAGTTTTTCTTACACAAAGGCTTGTACTCAGAATCATGTAACTCCATTACATCTCCTCTTTGCATTAATGAAAACTACTGTTTATTTTTCAATTGCATATGTTGAGGCACAAAACAGAGAAGGAATGGAGAGTGAGAAGGAAATTTCACTGAATTGAATGAAGCTAATGACATAAGCTTCTGAGTATATACACATCATCTCTTTTTAAAGGTGACAAAGAAATTGAAATACATTCAATGTCTGAAAAAATTAA